CGAAGCGTAATTTCCCACACTCTGTCTCAAGCCTTTGATGGTAAGCATGCTCCCGCCTCGCTGAATAACGCTTTCAAAAATCTATTTGCTCTATTTCGTAAAATGTAGAATCTTGCTCGGATGATGTCTGCTTGAAGTGCATACGAAAGCTTAGCACAGTTTGATCGTGGTAGCAGGACGGTGAGCCGCGGACGTATTTGCACAATTCAACAGTTCTCCCTTCGGTTTCAGGTGAAACTGCAGCATGAATTCCTTCCAACCAACCTTTCATTCGAAATGGAAAGTCGTGTCACACTGATGTTAAGACTGATGTTTAGCTATTCTAGCAATTCCAACACCTTTAAATGACTAGGGATTGATACATTCCCATTCAAAACTTACTGGTGTTTACTGAGTACTCATTGGCAGTGAGTTTGGGTTGTGTTGCAAATATTATCTTACTTATTTCGTTTATAATTAAATTTCAAGACTCCCAATAGATCATATATATGAAGAGTATTCGCGCTATTTCTCTTAAATTAATGAAGGACCTGTAGCTCAATCTCCAACAGTAATATTAGTAGGCCTCACCTTTCCTTGTGGGTAAATTCAACTACCAGCCCCGAAGCCTACTCATATACGAAAATAAGTAGTAAGCAAATACCAATCCGCTTAATCGACAACGCCACTACAGAAAGTGATATAACTAAGGCCTGGCTTCGCTTTAAATTAAAATTTGCACTATGACCCAGGAGTACTCGTTGCAGTCTGCCGTAATAGTCAACTTTTTGTAAATACATCTCACAAGCTTACCTTATTGACACTCGTTCCCCAAATGTACAGCTTTGGTCCATTCCACATCTCAACAATTCCCCCCTTTTTCGCATCCGGCTTTCCTTTCCCATATCCTAATCTAGTTGGCCCTCATTGTTTTACCTCAAAAAAATAACGCGAAAGGACTTAAAGTTCAGTGTGTATTTCACCTGAATAACTACGAATTTCTATGTGTGGTTTTATGCACTCCGTCGTTCTTTGGGCTGGCTACTTCCTGGCTTCGGACATTTCAATGAAGCGCCGGAGTTCGTCGATGTCCAATTGGCCGTCTCCATTTGTGTCGTGTTCTCGCACGAACTTCTCAATATTCTTTTTCGTATAGTTACAGCCACATTTTGCCAGACCCACACGCAGTTCGGCGGCCGACACCTTACCAGAGTGGTCCAGGTCAATTGAGTTGAACACCTTCTGCACGAAGTCTTCGCTGAAATTCACAAAATGTGCAACCCCCGAATCGAATTTTAAC